CTAAGCCACTCAGTGTGGCAGTGAAAAAGCAGAAGTGAGAACGGATTCAAACTTCAAGATCCACCATCTCTAACCAGTGCACAACTGTTTTTTGTGACTGTTCTGGGAGGTTTGGCCAGGCATCACCACTGAGGAAGCACCAGCTTGTGGCGAAGGCCATTCATGTGGCACTCCATCTAGTGCCCCCCGGGCTGAAGCCATCACCTTGCTGGGTATCTCCTAGCAGGCTCTGCGGGTGTACAGGCTCTTAGCTTTCAGTTTGCTGCTTTCTCCTCCCAGTGAGGAGGACACTGCCATCTCCTCTCAAGGGAGAAGGGCCAGGAGTGTGCTCCAAATGTGGCACCCAACCTGCGGCTTTGGAAGGGCTACACCACAGCATGTAAAGGATAAACATAAACAGGGTCTAAAATATATGATTGTGTTCAGCAGATACTGGCTTATTTCAGCTGAACCTTCTTCCTCGCTGCTGCAGAATGGGGATATTTGTTCTCCTAATCATATCTCTCTGTAAAAAAACAGGTCTAGGGCCTCTGCATCCTCTGCATTATTTACTCGTCTTGAAAGTGTTTTCATCTGGGTGTTGACAATTTAGCCTGGTGTTCAGATATATCTCAGGCTGTGTACTGCACCACAAGTGTTTATTGGACTGTTTGGAAAGCAAGGAGATGCCCTGTTCTCCTTCCACTACAGACACTGTGAATAATTGCACAGATGGGAGCTGCAGCAGACTTGCTACTAGCAAACAAACATGATTCAAAATGTATGCTTTACCACTTCATTTTCTATGAATTCAGAGCAGTTTTTTCTTATTAGAATTTGAAATAATGCACATGGTTTCAAGCACATCCTGTACAGAATCCAAACTCTCAAGAAACATTCCTATAAGCAAGTAATGGTGACAATGACAATTCAAGTACTCCATGTATTTGCCTTTAAAAGCTATATATCCTGCAGAATAGAAATCCTAATTATCCTAATTCTTGAATCTGCACTGAGAGTTCCCACTGGGACCTGGAAGTGGGTATGAAATTATCCAAGTAATTTCAAATATGGCATTCCTCACAGACTCCACTTCTATGACTGCAACAATGTGCTAATTTTAGTTTTATGTCAGAGAGTGCCTGAAGCTGATAATCTGGAGTCACGGGGACAACAAGCTCCACGTAATGAGCCTGCCAGACTCCTGAGCAGCCTGGCTTGCCAGGGGCCTCCACCTAATCCCAAAGCTGGTGAACAGCAGCAGCTCAACTGGCATCGCTGCCCCCAAAGGCTGCGTGGCCTCCATACCTTGCTGATGCTGCAGCTGTGTTTCTTTTAGTCAGCCCCTGAAACAAACGGTTGTCCTGTGCCCACAGCTGTCTCTAGAGTGAGCAGACTCGCTGGTTCAAGATGACACCAAAGAGAAAATCAAACAGTCTGAAAGGTGAAAAGGCTCTTAGCTACAAACAGGCGTACAGTTCCTCGTAAGGATCTGCACAGTCTAAAATACAGGCTAGTACTTCATATCTAGGTTCCTTAAGGGAGTGTTTTACAAAAACCTACTTTATCTTGCCAAACTTCATTCTACAGTCATGAAATCCAAGGCACATTTCATGTGCTGCACAGCAAAAATGCGACTCATGTTCCACACCTGCCAACTATGGAGGTCAGTCCTATCATTATTTTGGCTGCATGACCACACTGAGATGAAAATTTTTGCAAAAATAGTTCATATCTTTAGTCTCTCTCCTTCCATGCTTCCCACCAAGACAGGAACACAAAATGAAAAACATACTTAAAAGAATGCAAGCTTCTCATATTCATTTGCAGTATAATACTTAGGCAGGACATCTTTCTCTCAAGCATGAAATTCTGGTCTTCAACATATATTTTTATAATATTTTTATTTAAATTTCAAGTAGTTACTGTTGTCTCAGAGCCTTGACTATTTTTTTAAACATAAATCTTGACAATAGTTTAATTTGTCCAGTTTTAAAATAAGACATTCCTAGCCAGGAATTTAAACCAGAGAAGACCTTAGGCTTACCTGGTATTAGTTAAGGTCAAGCCAGCCAAATGAACTGCAGTATTGTTAGACAGCTGATGGCAATTTTGAAACCAAATATAACATAAAATTCAAAGTTCCACCTAGTAATGAGATCTAATGAATCTGCATATTTATGATGCAAATTCCATCAGCAAAATATACACGTCATCAGTGGAACTAAAGAATATAAATGTATTCTAAAAACATTAGAAGAGACCACAGTCGAAAGTGTGGGTGTGAGTGGGTTTGCCTTGTTCTATAGAACTGCAGTGCATGTCACACGGTGTTATTCATCTGAGATCTTTTTCTTTCTGCTACTTTAAATGTCATTCTGCAGCTATAAGGCATAATCTGCATAATGAAAATCCAGAAAGAAATATGTGAACGCATTGAGTGGTTAAATACTACTTGTCAAATAGCAGAATTTCTTCAGAGGCTGTTTCAGGTCTCTTTGGAGGTTTTTTGTATAGCATTAAAGCAGCTCACTGCTCTTTAACCTACTGGCTGCACCCCAAAGAGTGCTCTGCTCCCCACTAGCCTATTACACTCCCCAAGCACAACTGCAATAGTAAGGAAAGGGGTTGCAGAAGAGATGCTCAAGTTGCAGCAGAACGACTTGCTGGTGGTGTGAGATGGTTGGTTTCAGGATGCCAACTTACCCTATTCTGTTTGCTGCAATGGCTAGAAACACACTCAGTTCAGTTTTTCCCTCAAGGACTTCTCACTGCAATGATATCAACACAAATGGGATGAAAGAATTCTACCAGCAGAGGAATGGACACAGTGTGCTCTCTGCTAAGATTTCCTTTGTAACACAATGATAACAGTATCTGGCTAAGACATGTCATTACATCTTCCATCTCATCCTCTTGGATATATCTCAGGTATGTTACTTAAAAAACAGCTGAAAAGCTAATTGGATGTAAATGATATCTGTTCCAAGATTATTACTAAATCATACCTTGGGGATCCCCTCTCTTGAACAGCAGCACAGCCTCTTCTCAGATAATAGTCAAAAAATCAATTAATGCCAGTGGGCTGAAAACTGAAACAGAAAAAGCAGCACTGCCACCCAACAGGATGACATATGGAGTCACACTTTCCTCATGCCTGGAATCGCTCTGTTTTAGACCTAATTACAAAGGGAAAACTAGACACTGAGTTATCACTCAGCAAGTCCCAGTTCAGTCCCTCTGCTCATGGGACTGCTCTGCACAGCTGGACAGCCAGAGCACAGGGCAGTTTCTGCTCTTTGGAGAGGGCGTGAGCTTGAGCTGATTGGTTTCAAGGAGGTTAAGCATTGCATTCTCTGCAGCTGCTTTTCTTTCACTCATCTGTCTCTTAGTTGTCTATTCCCCTCCTTTGAGGCCTTTGACTCTGCACTTTTCAGCTATAACCCCTGCTCTAATTGTTAAAGCCAAACTGACAATCCAAGTGATCACAAGTGAAACAACTCTTCTGGTAAAGCTTGTATCAGCCATATAGCTGGCATCTAGTCTGTCACTCAGATCTCCGATTTCTAGATTTGCATGTTTAACTCACCATTCTCCACTACTGCACTGAAGATGAAACACAGCCTTAAGAGGCAAATCTCCATTTAAAAGCAGAGGCCATGTTACAGTTTCTGCTCACAACACTGCAGGAGGGCAGTGTTCTGGGCAAGTAGAAGACTGGCCTCCCCCTCTAATGCCAGAGAGCAGGGCCTGAGTGCGCACTGCATGCGGGCATCCTCCGAGCACAGCAAGCAGCACCCTGGGGTTTGTCCCGGGCTTCTATTCCAATGGACAACTTCCCTGTCCATTTACTCAGGAGTGACCTGGAATATGAAGCCATCATTCTCCCTTCTGTGCCAGGACAAATCAGCGACAGCTGTGTGAAAAATGTAAGGGTGTTTCTTCACTGACAGGATGCAAAGTTCACATAGCCAATACGATCCTGCTAATAGCTGAAGTCAAATACGACAGACACTTCAAAGGTCACAACTTAATTGTCATTAGAGATGTCCCAGACATGAAATGGTATGAACAAGCACTCAGCAGCAGGGATGTTATTTTCTTTCCAAAGTCTCTTTTGGTATCCGAGAAAAGAACTATCCAGATCTTGAAATGAATCATTTCCATTCCAAGTACTTTGTCCTCACAAGAGCCTGGTATTGGGGACAGTGGATGGATGCTAAAGGGAAAAGACTGAAAAATGACTGTCACGCAGGGGAAGTCACCTGCCAAGACCCTGCCTGGCTCTGAGCAAGCAGCGGGCTCTGCTGCATGCTGATCCGCTAGTGCTGGCACAGCTGCGCTCCGGGAGGCCAGCGGTCCTGCCAGCCGCTTGTGTGAGCACAAAGGAGGCCTGAGCAAAAGGCAAATTGGAAATGGCTGGTTTTAGAGGAGAAGCACCATTCAGGCCCTCAGCAGAAGAGGGAAAAAAAAAACATTAAAAGTATGGCCACAGTACTGGCAAGTACAAATCAAAGTTCTGCTAGCTTCTGTTGTTACAGTGTTTTAGAAACTGCAATCCCAGATTAATCCTAATAAATTTGAAGGCTACCACTTGCAAATATCACTGATTGTTGAAGTTGCTGCAGGTTGCTCTTCCCTGACACTCCTAGGGAACAAAGTCCTTTCGCAAGCATCTGCACTCGCAGGTTCTGTGCAGTGTCACACGCAGGGTGGGTTACATATTGCAGTTGGAGAGTGTATGCTCACAGCTAGACCGCTCTGCACACACTTAGTGCCCTCAAAGTGGCACTGCCGTGTGTTAGTACTCCAGCATCCTGTTTAAGCACTCTACCTCTCCTGTTTAAGCACTCTATCCCTCCCACAGTGCCCCCTTTACGGAGGATGATCTTAGAAGATTAATATAATTTCTCTATAAACAGATAGATATTAACTTTATGATTACAGGCATTGCTGTAGACACACACACAGCCATTTACTGCTGAGGAAATTAGCCATTAGTGACTAAAAGGTTATCCTACCTTTTCAGAAGCAGAGAGTCTTTTCTCACAGGCTTTCTGTGGAAAGAGAAATTTTGACAATCAGGGAAAAGAGATCTGGAAACTGTACTCTTAAAAAAATAATAAGAAGAAAAGAAGTAAGCTGCAGTTCCTGCCTCGTGTAATTCATCTGATTTCAGTGGGGCTGTCCCAGGGATAGATTCGTCCCTCTCTCGTTGCCAAAAAGAGAACAACAGGAGCCAGCCAAAGGCATCTGCTTTTACATTTCCTCAGTGAATCTGTTCATTCTACTCTCATGATAGAAAAGCTGTAAACAAAGGCTCTTCATGAAGCTGCATTGTGCTATCCATAATTACACTGTATGTGCTTCATCAGCATACATGCTCCAGGGCACACTGCAAAGGCTTTTTACATATTCGGACTTCTCTCTAAGAGGGCGGGTTAAATTAAGAGGGAGAAAAACTAGCAGTTAAAACAGAAAAGGAAAATCTAATGGTTACTTACAGAAGTGTTCAGGATAAGAGGGAGGAGAGGAGGCTTTATAGACAGACACCACAGAAAAGACTATTGAAATCTCTGTCTAGCAGTACCCCAGTTAGCCTGTCTGCTTTAACCATTTCACTCACCCCTTCTCTTCAAGATTGCAAGCCTTCTGAAACAAATTCTGTTTATGCACTACTGCCACACGAAAACCTCAAGCTGAATTTTTCTAACATACAAATTCATTTTGGAAGCTCTCTGAGGCAGAATTTCTGGCCTTGCCAAAAAAAACTGTGGATTTATTCCTAATATTTCTATTTAAAAGACTTTTTCATTCATCTCCCAGGCACCTTTTTTATGAGCTTGCTGTTCACAGATAGGACAGAAAAGTCCAGCAAAGGACATGAACAGAAATTACCATATCAGAAAACTCCAGCCAAGCCCTGGTAATTCCATGCTAACTCAGGAAAGCCGGATGCTTGCTTAGCTCAAGTTTCAAAGTTTGCAAAACAGGTGTAACAAAGAAGAAAGGATACCTATAGTAATAAAATATTACTTTTTGCAGCAAAACAAAGGATTCACATTTTTAAAAAATTAGTTTTGGCTAATTAAACTAGAAGCAATGCTTAAGAGCAGCACTAACATGCCCCCTTGGAAAGTAGTTCACTCTATCCTATACCTGTCAGCAGAGTAGGTTTATCCTGAACAAAACTGCCATGGAAAATTGTATCACAAGACCTATACGTTGCTTCAGCAACTTCAAAGTTCAGAAATATGAATGTTTCTGTTGTGACTGTCCTGCTGAAATGGAACTTAATTTAATTTGGGACAAGAATACAACACTCACTAGTTCCCTGCATTACTAAGATGCTCCAAATTTACTCCTGACCTCCTAAATCAGTGAGAAATACAGCAGGCTTCATTTTAAGCTTTAAGCAAAAGCATCAGTCTGGGCAGGTCTGAGTTCTGGACAGAAATGAAGACTGAAATATAAAGCTCTATGCAGCCAAAAATGCTGTGTTTCCAGTGGCTTAGAACCAAGCCATCCTGATTGCACCCAAATCCATATATCTTTCCAGACTTGCTTGAAACCGGAGACTACTGCTTCTGGAGGGTCACAAAGTTTACTGAACTTGCTCTGAACTTTGCATTGGAAATATAAACAAAACTTCCAAGCTGAAGGTTTTGCTTTAGACATTTTGCCCTCTCTCATGCTGATGTCTTGTAGAAAAATAATGGCATGATCCCATCTCCCTTTTCTCATATACAGTTTCACCGATTTCCATATGTCTAAAGACTTCTCCCACCTCACCAGTTTCTCGGAAGCTATGATCTTTAAGACAAAGAAGATATCTAACTACAGAAATACTTTTGACAAAATCTTTTTGTCAAAAAAAGATTGCATTTTACAATATTTCTTGTAAGAGTATTTCTGAGTATTGTAAAAAGAGTATACTTTTTACAAAGTATTTTACAGAAATACTTTTGACAAAATCTTGCACAGTTGTGCAAAATCTTTTCACTCACAGGAATAAAATCCCTCCATCCCGAAGTGCCTACTTTAATGCACATTCTTAAAGGTTTTCCAAAATCAATTGAAAAGTTACTTTCTATTAGGAGATGTTTTTCATAAAATAATATAGGAGAACTTTGAAAACTGACCATGGTCCCATCAGTGTCAGCAATTAGAAGCTTAGATTCACAGATTCCTATGGATGCCTTTATTTATTAGTCTGTTATATACAACATTCTTTGCAATTCACTGCATTGTTACCGCAGCCTTGAATCTTTCCAGTAGCAAGAGCCCTACTGGTTAACCAGCTGAATTCATGTTCTTCTTGAGAAGCTGTGTCCATCTCAAATCCCCTCCTAAAGTCACTAAAAATCTCTTTCTCACCATGAACACTGCAGACTCCAGGAGCCTGAAGACAAATTACACATCTGTTTGGAAAGATGAGAGGAAATGATGGTAAATCACCTGTCACTATTTGCAACTCCTGAAGCTCCATCAGCTTAAATAAACAGCATTCAATTTAAAGCAAAATCAAGCAAGTCCTGAAAAGTGGCACTTACTGAAACTTGTCCTGAAAGAACCTTTAACATTCCCACTTTTCTCTGCTTTCGTTCTTAAACTGTTCTAATTTCTATCTCTTTCTGAAGTAACTCTCTATTTTTGCAATTATTAAATTATTAAATTAAATTATTAAATTAAATTATTAAATATTAAATTATTTAAATTTTAAAGATTAATTTACACAAATCTCACTCTTAAAGGCTGCAAAACAAATCAATAAATACCACTGTTAACTTATTAACCAGTCCAGATCCCTGAGGACTGCATATTTGAGGACTGCTGCAGTCACTCCTTAAGTTTTGCACTTAACCTGAGGAATTGGCAAACATAAGAGTTATTGTCTCTTTCTCAGATGCTGATGAACCACTCCTGCTCTTGCTCAAGAGAGTATCAAAGTGATAAACAGCAGGATCACACACATGTAAATAACAATTAGTCACTGATGTTTCCCTCTTAATCTACTAAAACTGTGCTTTCTCTCTCATGACTTAAGAGAATCATCCAAAAGGTATTTAGCGTTTATTTTACACCACAAGTCCTGACCCTGTCTAGATGGGTTGGAGTTTCTCAGAAGGACATCACAGCACTTAATAAGAGCATGGGGCAGTAACGGTCCTAGGCTTCTTCAGTAATCACCCAGTAATTGGAATTACCAACTAACCAACATTTCAGTGTAGCTAATGGGATGGGACTGTGCTCTGGCACATGGTATTTTCATGGAAGTGAAAATTGATTGAGAGAAGAGGGAGAGAAATGAGGTTTTCAGCCATGTTCACTGCTTTGCTTCACAGTCCACTGTCACGTGAGTTGTGTTGGCACAGGTGTGGTGAGAGGGGGAGAAGCAGGTAAAGATAAAAGGTGGTGGTGGCGGAGGGGGAAGAAAAAAGAAAAGTGATGGAATAGTTCATCCTGGCTGCTGTCTCCAGACACGTAGAGGAGAAGAAGGTGCTCAGGAGTAGCCAGCATGGATTCTCTAAGGGGGAATCATGCTTGACTAACCTTATCACCTTCTATGATGGAGTGACTGGTTGGATAGATGAGGGCAGAGCGGTGGATGTCGTCTATCTGGACTTCAGCAAGGCTTTTGACACCGTCCCTCACAGCATCCTCCCGGGCAAGCTCCGGAGGTGTGGGATAGATGAGTGGATGGGGAGGTGGATTGGGAATTGGCTCGATGGCAGGGTGCAGAGAGTGGTTGTCAGTGGCGCGGAGTCCAGCTGGAGACCTGTAGTTAGCAGTGTCCCCCAGGGGTCGGTCCTCGGTCCGGTCCTGTTCAATTTATTCATTAACGACCTGGATGAAGGGCTGGAGTGCTCCCTCGGCGAGTTTGCTGCTGACACCAAACTGGGAGGAGTAGCTGATAGCCCTGAGGGCTGTGCTGCCATCCAGAGGGACCTGGACAGACTGGACTACTGGGTGGTTAGAAATCTCATGAGGTTCAACAGGGGCAAGTGCAGGGTCCTGCACTTGGGGAGGAATAACCCTGGACACCAGTACAGATTAGGGGTGGACCTGCTGGAGAGCAGCCCCGCAGAGAGGGACCTGGGTGTCATGGTGGACGACAAGTTGACCATGAGGCAGCAGTGTGCCCTGGTGGCCAACAAGGCCAACGGGATCCTGGGGTGCATTAAGAAGAGCGTCTCCAGCAGGTCGAGGGAAGTGATCGTCCCCCTCTACTCAGCCCTGGTGAGGCCACATCTGGAGACTGTGTCCAGTTCTGGGCTCCCCAGGACAAGAGGGACGTGGAGCTGCTGGAGAGAGTCCAGCGCAGGGCCATGAGGACGATCAGGGGCCTGGAACATCTGCCCTATGAGCAAAGGCTGAGAGAGCTGGGCCTGTTCAGCCTGGAGAAGAGGAGGCTGAGGGGGGACCTGATCAGTGTCTAGAAATACCTCAAGGGAGGCAGTGAGGAGGAGGGGGCGGCCTCTTTTCAGTGGTGACAGCGACAGGACTAGAGGAAACGGCCACAAGCTGAGGCACCAAAAGTTCCACAGGAACTTAAGGAAACACTTGTTGACAGTGAGGGTGCCAGAGCCCTGGAACAGGCTGCCCAGGGAGGCTGTGGAGTCTCCTTCTTTGGAGATCTTTAAAACCCGCTTGGACGCAGCCCTGTGTCCTGTGCTCTGGGTGACCGTGCATGTGCAGGGGGGTTGGACTAGATGACCTCTGAGGTCCCTTCCAACCTTAAGTATTCTATGATTCTATGAACTGCTCGTCATGAGTACCACAAGAAAAACACCCTAAATACCCAAAACAACAACAAAAAACACTTAAAACCATGCCCAAAACAGTTGCTAAAGTTTCTCAGCAATTTGTCACCATTTTTATTACACAGCTCTAAACTAAATCAAAAAAATAAAATATTCTTTCATTTTTGGAGGGCTTTTAACACTCAAATTGTGGATGTCTTTCAAGTTCCAGTTTTTCTCACCTGCTGGTCAGGCAAGCATCTCTTCCATCTACAAGCTACATCCTGCAGCTACAGTTACCAGCAGCCTCCAGA